TAAGATTTTATTTTAAAAATAATGCTTTTAAAAAAATTTCAGGGCAAATTTGCAGGAGAAACGGTTTAAGAGATAATTATATAATAATTATATATGCCCACCTATACTAAAGATTAACCAAATTGGGATTAAATTTGGTTAATTTTTGGTTATTCTTGTTTAAAGTTATAAAAAATTTTTATTATAAAAAATTTGCTTGATTTCTATTGGTTCACCCCATATGTTTACTATTTTTAATACTCTTGGGCTAGTACTCTTGGACTAGACCTGGACATTGACTATCTATCTGAACATGTTTCCGTATCCCGAGCAGGTGACTATATCGAATTACGACCCGGAAATCTGGTGACCTCCCTCATAGAATGAAATTCATTTGATTGACTAATGTAAATCAACCTTATTTATATATTTTAGAGTACTTTTAAATAACGCTTCATTAATAAAAAAATCGTCATAACAATCATTCTTAGCTTTTAACGAGCGTTAATATTCACTATACAAAAGAATCCAAAAAGGATCCACCTCCTGATTATTTTGCTTATATGACAAAATATACACAACACTTATTGGACTGCGTGAAATTACACTGCAGAGTGAAGGTAACATGAAATGTTTTCGTCAAGAACTACTTTATTAAGTTAGATTTAAATAAATTTTATTTCCAACGTTAAATTGGAATAAGTTCAAGATTTTTAGTAGTAGAAAATCCAGATTTAATATTTAAATTTGGTCTGTTTTTATAGTATACTTGGGCTTGTCAACCGCAAATTAGAGTTCAGTTTATGTCTTTTAGATTCTTTAATGAGTAAAGTTTATTAGAATAAATATCACATTTACCCCACTTTACGCGTATTTATCTATTCTCTAAATATGTGTACTAGATTCTTTTGCGTGTATTTGAGTTTGTAAACTTCTATAGAAAAATTCTTTTAAAAATTATGGAATTTGATTGGTTAATTATCACGGGAAATCTCGAGCAGGTCTACAAAATTAACTAAACATATGAATATCTTAGTGATCAAATAATCGAAAATGATAAACATTATGATATCAGAAAGCGAAATTATAAGTAGCAAATCAGTATGGTATAGGTGAGGACCTAGCTGCTGCACCAGTTTTGTCACAGTAGATTTTGATTGGCTAACGGCCGTGATCTTCAAATTTTTACCCGCATTACATAATTGTTTACATTATTTTTCAAAATTAATTTCATTCCAAAATAGAAATTTTAGGAAATAGGCGCGCACAATAATAAAAATGATTATGAACATTTTTCACTTTATGGACGACTGCAATCCCATTAGTAATATTTTGAATAATTTGGCCTAAATCTCTGACAGTCGTTCTTAACCGATTAAAACCAAGAATTGGCCATGACAAAATTGGTATGGCAGCAAGGTCCAACGAGTCCAATAATCAAAATGCCATAGATTGACCTGTACTATACAGATTTGCTCACCTATGCCATACTGATCTGCTTAATTTGTTAATTTATTATCGATTTATTAGAGCGGTATAGCTTACAACTTTATCATACTTCATACAGTATGTCTGATTATTATGTGCTACCTTGCGAATATTAATCTTGCCTTTAGTACACTCTTAGTACAGTGGCCGAAAGAAATAATTGATCACACCATATATTCTATAAATCGAGAATGGCTGATGATTCTGTGTTTAATCGAATGCTACAGACTGATTTGTTTAAGGTGGCAGAAACTGGATCAGACGTTCTCAAATATAATACCAAATATGAGAGGCAGAGATTATATACCATGTGCACACTTTAATTTATTAATGTGATAATAAAATATCAAGATGATTCTGATATGGATGATGCTGCAACTTGATATCTTGGTTTAAATTATTAACCTTACTAAAATCCACGTTTACCCTTTTGTCATGAACTCTATCTTTTAATAATATTTAAGGAGAAATAACAATAAAAAAATAATCTGAAAAAGAAAGCAACAAGCATAATTTAAATATATATATATAAGAGAAATTAAAAATTCGATAATAATATGAGATATTTGCTCTAAGAACTTTGTGCACAGGCAACTTCTATATAAAATAAACCATCATTTGTCTGCGAAAAAATGGAATTGATATATAATATTCTTCTGGTAATGTTGAGAGTTGCAATGGCATTGTATATAAACCATCAATTGTTCCTTTAGCTTTAATGACCGAAGGAAGATCAAATGATTTACTTAGGAAATTATTAGCGTCTTCTGCGTTAACAAAGTCTATCTCAACAAACCCATTATTCACATCAACATCTACGGTTGCAAAAATATCAAAAGTTACGTTTATTCCAGGAACGACAGAGTTTGGCTTCATTATAACGTTGAACACTTTTTTATCAGTGACATAACATTTTTTAAATTCAGTCATTCTTTTCCGGAATGGAATAGCATTGGCGGTGAGAAGTGCAGCCAATAAAATAAATATGAAAATAAACTTTTGATTCATTATTTCTTTATGTTGATAGGTTTTAACAAGATAATTGATAATTTGATTATTAAAAAACTGGCTCAAAATTACTTCCTTTTTATAAGAATTTATCGGAATAACGGACATGGGCGTTATTTCGAAAATCTTACACTCTAAAATTAATAAAATTAAGTATATTTGGTTCCCAAAATAATGTACACTTTGTATAAATTTCGGCAGTTTCATGTTTATTAAAATTTTCCAAAAAGAGCATAACTATTGAAATGCTAATCCTGTAATCAAAGACACAGTACGCAATTTAAAGCATACAATATGGGATCTTTACTAGGAAAATCACCTCCGACATTTTCCGATCGGGTCAATTCGGAACATTTTAAACCAACATACCAGTTCTTATTTACATGTAAATCATTTTTTTTGCCCTTATTGATTCAATAGCTTATCGAATGAACGTTTGAATCAATAAAGGCAAAAATGATATACATGCAAATAAATACCGGTGTATTGGTTCGAATTTGTCCAATTAGCCTGATCGAAAAATGTCGAAGGGTGATTTCCTAGCTAGCCCTATAAAAAAATTGTTCGAAATTTTTTAATGTTACATAATGATCTACCGCTGGTAATGTAACAAAAAAAAATTTGGTTCATGCAATTCTAAACGTATCCTTTTTTTTAATTTGTTCATAAAAAATATCTTTATTTAATTTGGAAATCTCAACAATTATTACCATTGCTAATATGAAAATATTCATGCATGTATCATGAAACATGTGCTTAATATTGTTAGGCGAAACCTAGAGGTTTCGACACAGACGAAAGGTGGCGAAATTGGCGAAACTAATAAAAGGTGGCGAAACTGGTAGAAGATGATAAATCTAGTAAAAGTGGCAATAATAGAAAGTAATTGAAAGTTAAAACACTTTTATATAATAATTAATCTTTTTGTTGCTACATATATATTTGATTATCAATTTACCAACTCTTGTTTTACTAACAGCCATTTACCAACCAGTTTACTTTACTAACAATTATTTTACTAATAACTTATTTTATCAACAGGTTTTTTAAAAAATTATACTAACCTTAATTTTAATTCTAAACCTGACCTAACGGCAATAACCGGAATTACTTTGTTGGTGAAATAGCTATCAATAAAATAAACTATTTGTGAGTTAAACTATTGATGAATTAAACTGTTAGTAAAGTGAGTATTGATAAAATAAAAAGAAACCAAATATGTTTTGTCAGAAAAAAGAAATATAGGAATTATAAAATCTGAGAAATTGCATTTCAGGAAGCTGAACTACAGAAAAGAAAGCGACAAAAGTAAAAACTGTATTCATGAAAATTAGCCGATCATTAATTCTTTTAGTAGTTTTAAATGCGTTGATAAAGATAAATCAATATGAAAACACATATGCTATATGCGATTATCTGATGCCTATATTAGTATACCACAAAATCGATACATAAAAAAATTTTTTTATAGCGATATTGAGGCTATTGCAATTGAAATTAATCCAATTCATTATACTTGACTTACAGGTTCTTCAATTGTTAATAAAAATTATCAACTTGTAAAATACATACATAATATACTTCTAATACTAACATAGGATATTTTATTGTGATCTTACAAATAATCAAATAAGTAAACGATTTAATAAATTAAGGTACTTCAAGGAAAACTATTAGTACATTTTAAATTAGGTTTTTTGGTGGTAATTAGAAGTGCTTTTATCTAGTGCTACCTAAAAATTTTCTATTAAATATGATATATTGACCATTATTAGCTGGCTAATAAAATTTTCAGCCAGCTAAGCGGCTGGCTAGAAACACTATTCCCACTAAAAAGCTTGCATGAACGTATCCTGCTTTGCAAATTAAATATAAAATTTTAAAAATATCAAAAAGTAGGTTTAATATAGGATATGCCAGGTAAGATCATGAAAAACTTTTTCTTAAAAACTTGTCAAGACTTTCATTATCAGCATATCTAGTACAGGTGACTCTCGTTAATATCAACCCAAACCACATGACAAATTTTATAAATTTCTATATCAAAATTCTCTAATATATATCAACTTTATTATGACTATCAACATAATTTAATACCAATTCAAATAGATTGATAATAATGAGGGTCACCTGTATTCACAAAGACAATAAGAAGGCTCATCAATCTAAATCGAGACTAACATTTGTCTTTTGCATTGTGATTTATTACAAAACAATAAAGGTAATAAGAAACTTCATTGATCTAAATTCAAATAACATTTATTCATTAATGCGAAATTATTCCAACTATATTAAACTGTCATGTTACAAATATACAAAAATATTTTGTATTTATTAAATATACAATTGCTAATTTTCGCCGGAGAAGTTCGCTAGAGTGCTAGATCTCACGCATGCTAATCATGATTTTCATCTATTTAAAAATATAAATAAAATTATTACTGCTTACAAATTATAAAATAAATTTATTATTTGTATACATACCAAAGCTTTCAAAATTATCAGGAATTTCAAGCTTAACTTGAGCAGAAGTCATTTGAGACAAATCTAAATAAATAAATAAATAATATATTTAAATAAGTATAATATAGCTTTTAATATAGATTAATTGAAAAAATAATTACTTTTAAATGCATTTGAAATTAATTTTGTGCTGATAATTTTACTAGTATATATTTCATCAGGATGCTTTGATATCGGCAATGTATTAATAATTTTATCAGCATCCAAGAATTGCTTTTTAATTTCATTATCATATGAATTGCCTAATTCACTAAGCCAATTTCCAATTTTAGAAAAAGCATCAAAAGCACTAGGCCGTTTTTGTGGATCTAAATCCATACATTGCTTCGCCAATTCAACATAGCAGTTGGGAGTTTCAGGTGCAAATTCAGGACGCAATCCTTTGCAAATTTCTAGTGAAAGTTTTAAATCAAATTTACGTCCATCAAATGGTCTTTGTCCAGTTGACATTTCTGCCATAATGACTCCGAAGCTATAAATATCGGCAGCTTTTGTAAAGTTATGACCCAACAAAACCTCTGGTGCCACATAAGGCATAACACCATAAATATCACCTGAACTATTTTCGTTAGATTTTTTAGACAATCCTAGATCTGAGATGTAAGATTGTATATTTTCATTAATTCCTTTACCCTGCAAAATATTGCCGCTGTGAAAATCTGCATGAACATATCCTGCTTCATGAATAAAAACTAAATCGTAAGAAATATCTTTAAGTAGTTTCAATTTAGTTTGCCAGGTAAGTTCACAAAAATTTTTTTTTAAAAACTTGTGAAGACTTCCATTATCGGCATATTGAAATACCATAAAGTATTCACTTTCACTTTTTTGAGTCAATCCGTATATTTTAAGTTTACTACCCCGTAAGCCACATGTTATATGATTCTCAAACTTTATAATTAAATAAATCAAATGAAATAAATTAATTTATTATTTATTTAATAAATTATTAAATAAGCAGATTTAACTTACTTCTTCCAAAGAACCAGACAGGGTCTTGAGTGCAACGATACTAGATGTTTCGCGTGATCTTTTATATAAATAGTTATCGTTTCTATTATCGTTTATATTATCGTCTCTATCATCAATTTTAATTTTTTCAATTTTTCGTATACCATCCAACCAGGTTGCTGAATATACTGAGCCGAATCCTCCTTTACCAATTTTTTCAATATTAGATAATCTATCAAATGGAATCCATTCGATTGTTTCTTCATATGTCCAGGCTCTAAGTTGAAACTTTTTTATGCAATCATTAATATCCTTACTTTTACTTGTCCACCTTGTTGTTATGTCAGGATCACATGATTGACACCACGCTGGTTGTGTGTTATTTTCATTACAATACGCACATTTTCCATGGTTAGAGTTGCTTTATAATCATAATATATAATATATAAATAACATTTTATTTCATTTACAAATGCTATTTTTTTAAACCTTATTTCGAATGTAAATAATTTTTGTGCTTACCGACTAAATTAACGCGAATAAATGATTTGAAGGGTATTACATAATAGTAATGGTAAATAAGTATTTATGTTCTTGATTTTTGAACCGCTTTGCTGTTTTTAATTTAATGATTAATAAATGTTCTTTATACTCACCCACTGAATGAATAATTAATCCGAATGAAATGATTTGAAGGGTATTACATAATAGTAATGGTAAATAAGTATTTATGTTTTTGATTGGTGAACTTGCTTTGCTGTTTTTAATTCCAATTATTAATAAATGTTCTT